TTGGGGTGGGGGGTTATTTTGGGTGTTGGGGAGGGCAATACAAGAAGGGGGGAGGGGTAGAAGAACAAGACAGATAAGGGAACACTGAGACAGGTTTGCATGGCCTAGTGGGACAGAGATAAACAGTGATGCATACTCAACCTTGGAACAACAGGACTCTGGGATACAGGGATATAGGTATAGCTTGAAAAGGGTAAATAACACTAAAATCTTTGACTGCCTTATGAATATTAGTTTCCCTTGCCTACTATTGTAAAATAGACACTTGAGTGGTATAAAAAGGAATGTTGGGAAGCATGATTAGAGAAAAGTGAATCATACTTATATTCACAACTGCCCCAAAGTGTTGGCAGTCCATTGACTGAGAAATTAACAAAATGTGACATGTGATATATCCATAAGATGGAACGCTATTCAGTCAGAAAAAGGAATGGAATACTCTTGTGTCTTGGATGCACCGTAAAACACTGAATGAAAGAAGCCACACTACAAAGGTCACATATTAGAAAACTGCATTTACACGAAACGTCCAGAAGCAAATTGTAGAGAAAGTAGAGCAGTGTTTGCCAAGAACTGGGGAAAGGGATTGGATGGTGTCTCCCAAAAAAATATGTGTTGCAAATCTTAACATCTATGCTTGTGGATTATAAACTAATTTACAAATAGGTTTTTATGTTAATGACACATATTAGTATAGGGTATGTTTTGAGTCAATTTCTTTTGAGACAAAAACAAGCAAGGGAGAAAAGTCCAGATGAGTGAAGACAGAAGCCAAGGCACTGAAGATCACCTAGGAGTAGATGCTCAGAAGAAGTTCTCCAAAGGCTTCCCAAAGAGCCAACACCCTGAATTCAGACTTCTAACCTGAACTGTGAGAAAAATAAATGTTTAGTAAAGCTTCCCTTTTGTGGTATTTTCTGTTATAGCAGTACTATCTAAGTAAAAAAAGGAGAGGTTGCTAATGTCTTTTTTGGGGTTCTAAAATTAAACAGTGGGGACAGTTACATAACTCTTTGATGTACTTTTAAGAAATTAAAAACACTGAATTGTACCTTTAAAAGGGTAAAATTCATGGTATATGAATTATTGTATCTCATTAAAATGTACGCAGGAAAAAAAGCAAGGAAAATAACATAGGTATTTACAGAATCTTTAAATAAATGTTTAACACACAAATACAACCATATATATATATATATATCACTTCTAAAACTTTGTTATCAGTTATCCTGGACACAGAGACTAAGCTTTTCTAATTATTATAAATAAGGCCTTGTCTCAAGGATAACCAGAGGAGGTCTGCTGTAACTTACATCACTGAACTCCAAAGGTAAGCTCTCAGTGGGCTGAAGCTCAGCAGCACTCAAGTACAGATCCACGGGGCCGGTTTCCAGATCATCCGGCACAGACAAGCCCTGTTCAGGCTTATACATCTGAGGAGGCAGCTGGAAATGCAGTGGACAGCAGGGATCCTCAGAGAGGCTTACAGGAACGGGTTTGTTGCAGGGTACCTCCTCAGACCCCTGGCAGCATTTGAAGAGAACCTGATTCGTATCTTGACAGATATCTGCAGAAAAACGGTTAAGGGAAAAATGCAATCTATTGGAGGTACAAAATACAAAAAGTTATATACTGAAAACTGTCATGTAATACAAAACCCAAGGTTTAGACTATATAAGATACCTTCTTTTTTGATACAGAAACCAAATGCAGTTAGCAAGTTTAGCTTCATTCATTACATCTAATGATAGTTCCAACAGTAATCTAAAATAACTCCCCTAATCTATTTCAGAATCCTAATTATTTAAATCATTTAAAGACACCAATCCTGTTTTTCCTTTTGACTGTCAAGCACAGAAGAATTTCTACAAAGTAACAATAACCCTCCTAGAAACCCACCCCTATTCAGAAGAAATGTCATAGCAATGCAAATAGCTAAGAGAGGTCCCTACCAGTATCTTCCAGGAGATAGGAGATACCATGTTGTTCCTGCTAGTAAGCAGACGGACAGAAAGTTTTAAAACTTCGTGGACATGTTTCCAAAGCTATGATTCCTTTGATAAATTCATTTAAAACAGCAAGGGGATGGGAAAAATAGAAGTTATAATAACAGTCACTAGGCATCACGTCCTGTAACATCTCTGGGGGAATAAATGGTTAACTCACTCAGCTCCTAACCAAAAGGCTACCTAGCCAGAGGCACCTCAAAAGCAAGGCCTGGTAATCTACTTCTAAGAGATCAGCCATTGAAAACCCTATGTGAGGGGGGAAAAAAGAACAAAACAAAACCTATGTAGTTCTATTCAGACATGCAAGGGGTCACACCATGAGTCAGAGTCATCACAATGGAAATTGGTTTATTATACCCTGGTAGGAAATAAAAACTCCTGTTTTCTTTTTTTGAGGGGAGGTGCTGGAGAAACTCTGTTATGATCCTAAAGAGAAAAGGAAGAAGATAATTAATTTTCCTTGTGAAGGCCCAATGGAAAGGAAATACTCCAAGAATACTCTAGGAACTCAAGAACAACTTCTTTTCTATTAAGGGTAGAAGCTAAGAAGGGCTATTATTTCCAAGTCACCAAAGAAGCTCTATAGAATAAATCAAAGTTGAAATCATGAGATAAAATAAAATCCCAAAACAAATTATTCTACAAAATACATTCACTAAAGAGCTCCTGTTTCTTGAAATCTTGACTATATAGTTATTTCCCCTAGAATAACAGGAAGATATTATTTTAAATTTTTTATTTGCCCTTATTTTAAATCAGAAAACACAAATTTTCACTAACTGCATTTAGGGTTATGGAATTATGGGTTTTAGCCTAAAAAAGTACATGTAATTTTGTTTTTTAAAGCATGTAAGAATTGACTAAAAGCTGTTTCTTTTAATCTATGCTTTGAATGACCAGATTTGAAAGCAGAATTTCACAACCTAAGTGCTGACATTTTTTTCATGGGGATTACTTCTATGCAATGCCAGATGTGTAGCAGCATTCCTGGCTACCACTAGATGTCAGAAGCACCACCCTTACACCCCACAGTTATGACAGTCAAAAATATCTGACATTGCTAAATGTCCCCTAGTGAGCTAATGTGCAGGACAGCAAAGTTGATTTGATACACAAGGTTGGCGGTTCAAGCTCACCAGCCACTCCTTGGAAACCCTATACAGGGTCACTCTGAATCAGACCCAGGCTTGACAGCACTTAACAACAATTCTACAAGGAACAGCAGATAGTACAAAGTAAACAAATATTTGTTTACTGAATGACCAAATAAATATAAGGAATCAATTTCCCATGCAGTTATAATAAATGTAAAATCACACCAATCTCTAATGTGCTTAAAAAACCCAGTATTATGTAAATTGATATTTAAAATGTTAACCTATTCAATTAAATGTTTCTGACAAAACTTTGTTTCATGGAGTTCTAAGGAACTTTTACTTCAGAATAGTCCGGAAAAACCATCCCCGACACCCCACCCTTCTCCACCTCCTTTCCTTTCAGATGGAACCAGAAACAATGAGAAGGGAATGGTTGACCTACAACTAGAGTCTGGGTCCTTCACTTTCAGTCCAGTGCTGTCTCCATTAGACTAAAGAGTTAACAGGTCACCAATGGTAGTCGCATCTCTCTCTGGGGTAAGGACTTAAGGAAGGGTAAGTGACTTAGAAAACTATGGAGTAGTAAGGAAAAGAGCAAAGAGGCAAATAAATACTTCTCTTTTCAAATACAGTTCATTTCAAACTTTGCTTCTTAAAGTACCAATATCTTACCAAAAAACTATTTTTAGAATACCATAATGTCTAACATACTCCTTAATAACTAATTTAAGGGAAGAGATTCTTACAAATTTTAAAAAGATAATGTCTGAACATATTCCACATTATATGTGTCACAGTTTACTTCTCTACTGGCTTATCTTGAAAACTAAAATTATCCACAGCTGGATGATTGTGATGTGAAAATATGGGTAAGTAATTCCAAAAGATAGAATCACTACATCAAAGAATATGAATACGACCAAGTTGCTTTCCAAAAAGCTTGTGCTAATTTATATTCCCAATATATGTAGTGGTGCTGTGGGATAAAGCATGCAAGGTCAGTTTGAATCACAAGATCAGCGGTTCAAACTCACCTGCCCTTCTCTGGAAACCCCATACAGGGTTGCTGTGAAAATCTACTCAACAATATTTAAGAAGGTCCATTTCACCATATCCTCATCAACTTTTGAAATTCAATCCTTAAATATTTAGAAATTTGTATTCTTAGAATTTATTTTTAAATGATTATATATACAAACAGTAAGTTAACAGTTTGCTATTTCAAAGATGAAAACTTTTTCACTATTATCTTCTTTTAAATGTCCACAATCTTTGTTCAATTATGTTTTAAACATTCATTTTTAGTTTTTGTTTTGCACAAGCATATTTAAGAATAATCCTTTCCAATTACTGTCAAAATTCTTAATTAGCAAAATAGTTAAAGAAAATACATTTTATATTTTCCAAATACTAGGTACCCTTTGTCAGGCAAATTTAGCAAAATTTCTGCCTTCATATAATGGAGATCATCACATTTAATCTAAAAGCAAGTGTTTTTCCTACGAAAGTAACTTTTCCAATCAATGTCCATAATAAAGATGCACTTTTACAATCCAATGAACTCAAAACTTTCTGAAACCTGATGGTAAATGTAGTTCTTAGCTCAACCAAGACACAGTATGATGGTTTAAAGGCAAATTCATTTAAAAGGGGTAAATAGCATCTCATTTTTAGAAAAATTACGTTTCAAATTTGAATGAAGTTTTAAGGTCCCCACATTAGGACCATGACTATACAAAAGGAGAATACCTGAAGAAGGGTCACAGTTCAGAACTGTCCTGTTTGGGGGTTGGGGGTTGGGGGTGAGAACACTCTTCCACAGTGATTTTTTTTTTTTTTTTAAATAATTAGATTTAATGGCACTTTAATTCTAATGAACAAGTCAAATAAAAAATTCCTGTACTTTGGAATCCAAACATTAAGACTACAAATAAAGATTAGTTATCACCAATGACTCATGTTTCTTTCTAATGAACTGACCATTACACATTTTCAAAGTTCTGACATGGCCATCAGACCAAAGAAAGACATTTCTTTAGGCTCCTGCTTGAAACCAACAGCGCGATCACACTGCTGGCCTTGATTTAGAGCCAAAGGAAACTTAAGACCTTCAATTAGGCAAGCTAGCACACAGATTAAGATTCCCTCCAGCCCTACTCTAGGTAGCAAATCAGAGCTTGAGGAAGCAGAGTAAAAAGATACGGGTCAGGCAGTGTCTGGTCATTGGAAGAGACTGATTGGAACAACGAACATCATCCACAAATGCTAGGCACCTCTGACTGGAACGAGTGGTATGGGCCTAAAATGGAGAAAACAGCTAAATCAAAAACTGTAAATAGATAAATAAAAAATAGGTAAATCAAAAACAAAAGGACATACAACATATGACCTATGATGATAAAAATTAAAACACCTCTCCATATAGGATGTTGGAGTCCTGGTGTGGTACTGTGGGTTGTACTGTAAGGTTGGCAGTTCAAGCTCACCAGCCATTCCTTGGAAACCCTATACAGGGGTCACTATGAGTCAGAATAGACTCAACAGCACTTAACAACAACCATATAGTTGCAGAACCTAGTGGTTTTCAAATTAGTTTGTCTTTTAGTAGCATAACCCTTTTAAACATTGTAATCTTGTTTTTTTTAAATGGAGCTAATTACTCACTGAAGCAGGGACCACAACTTTAAAAATTTAAGAAAGATTACCTGTTTCCTGTCAACCTTATTTTCTAACTTTCAATTACCCCTATTTTTCTAACTATATTCTCACCTTTTAAAATGAGAGTCCCAAACAATGTAGGCTTAATCTGTGCCTATTTCTAAACTAAAGAATTTCTGAATTAAGTTAGAAATCAATTCTATATGCTCAATTTACAGATGAGAATACTGAGGCCCAGTGAAGTTAAGCTATCTGTGCAGGCAGATCTGGTCAGTAATGAACTGCAATTAAAACCCAAATCTCTTGATTTCTAACTAAGTGTTTTTCTCACTACATACTATTGTTATTGTTTTAAGTGCAATAAATCCCATAAAGTCAGATTTGAGAGCCAAAAACTAAACGAGAGTGTTTTGGTAAGGTTGAGAGGAGAAATGACCTGTTGGGCAGCACCATCTGTGGCAAGCATTCTGCGTTCCTTCAGCTGCCTGTGTAGCAAGGCTTCCACTCCGTAGCGCTGGCGGTATCGTCGGAGACACTTTAGTCGCTTTAAATTCTCTCGTTCTTTGGCTAAAAGTCCCTCTGGGCCAGTCAGAAGACTACTACCTGGAGAGTCACAAAAGTCAAGATTCTATCCACTGAGCACCCATGAAACTGTTACTACAAATTATTAAGGAATAAACACGGAAACCAGTTTACTCCTTGATAGACAGTTTAAAAAGTACAACCCCAAGACAGAAATATATGTAACCACTACCAAATTCACAGGTTGGGCCCATAAGCTTTGTTGGAACTGCCACAAAACTTGCCTAGAGCTTCATGTTCCACTTTGCGATTATGTAAATATCGGCGCTTCTTCTCTTTGAGCAAATGCTGAAGTCGTTTAAACTGATCAATGTACAGAGACTGCAAACGAATTAACTTCTCACGCATAATTAGAGCCACTTCTTCAGCAGTGTACACACCAGCATGTCTGAAATGGAGAATTCAGCAAAACATAAAAAATGTACAGTAACATCTAACCTGAAGTAAAGACGTTAGACTTGGTTTGTTATTTAACACGTAACAGTTAGTGCTGATACGTTACTAAACAGGAATGCTTTCACAGAGCATTTCATTTTATCACTGAAGTTCTGTTACTAAAAGAAAATCAAAAATGGATACCAATGACTGGGCTCACACAGGGGACATATAAATTTCATTATATTTCTCATTTTCATGCATTGTGTTTAAAAAGGTTTGAAGATATTAAACACTCAAAATTTAAATGAATCTATATTCTTTCATTTAATGACTGAAGAAAGGACCATTAGTCAGTCAGGACAGCTTAAAAGTACTCAAAGTAATAACAAATATCTTAATATAATTCAGTAAAAGCACAAAACTTTTAATATGTTAATAAAAGTCAAACCAACATGAAATGACTACAACCTTCTAAGTATAGTAATTAAAAAATATATGCAGACTTCTATCATGGAGCCAGGAGTCCTGGTAGCATAATGGAATAGTTGAGCACTCAACTGAGTGGCTCCAGCCCACCCAGTGGCTCCACAGAAGAAAAGATCTGGCGAATTGCTCCTGTAAAGATAACAAATTAGGAGACCCTAGGGAGCAAGGCAGCTGGCTGGAACTGAACAGCCCAATGCTTAACTATTGCACCACCAGGGCATTCATCTCTTCAAAACAGCCAATTTGCCTATCTGGCATCTCACTGGAAAAAAAGAACATGCTTATATTATGATTTCAGCTGTCTCCTCCCAAAATACAAAGGAGCTTCAAAAAGTTATTGGAAAATTCCACTCTCTTTTAATTCTATTTTTCCATGAATTTTTTGAAGGAACTTGTAATGTTGGGATTCTAACCCTATTCCTTTGGATACATCTATGTTTTAAAATAGGGTCTCTTCATTATGCTAATAGGGCCACCCCAATGTAGAGTATACCCTAAACCTTGAGTTACAAAAATGGACAAATGAGGCAAAGGTGTACACATTCTGAGGAAAACAGATGTGATTGCCAAGAAACAAGGAACACCTAAGGCTATCAATCAACAAAAAGGACAAGGACAAGGCCCTGTGAAAAAATAAATTTCAGTTAAGCTATCCAATTGTAGTATTTGTGCTGTAGCAGCACTAGGAAACTGAAGACAGTTTAGTATTGTTACTGTTTTGAGAAAGAAGGAGAGTTTGGATTAGATAGAGAGTGCCCTTTTCAACTACTTAAATGGACTTTCTAAATTAGTACCTCCTGAACAGCTAACTATACAGAGATTACTCAACAGAAACAGATACAGAAAAAGAAAAGGCATTCTGATAGCCTAGTGGGTTACGAGTTGGGCTGCTAAATGCAAGCTCAGCAGTTCAAATCTATCAGGTACTCCATGAAAGAAAGATGAGACTCTTTACTCCAGTTAAGATTTATAGCCTTAGAAACACTGTGGGCAATAAGAGTAGAAGCACACTCAACAGCATGCAACCACCACCCCAGCAAATAACATCTTATAAACCTCAAAGTCTAAGGTGCAATGAAAAAATTAATATCCCAGGAATGACAGTCCAATAAAGTCTAGAAATATTTTATTATCTCTTTTACTTGTTTACAGAACTACTTCCACCTAAAGTGTCAGTAGAAAGGGCAAAGTAAGTTTTTAAAAAGAGAGAGAAAAGTCTAGCACTTCAGGAGTGGCAGTATTTTTATGTTTCCACAGCTTCTTAAGTGATCATGGGAGAACAGAGCTTGAATAAGATACAATTAGGTTGATTACTTACTTCTGTGTTTCTAAACTGGTTTCTCTCGTAGGTAGGAAACCCAAAAGAAACTCCTGAACACCTTTTTTCTTAAAAAGAATTCTATAAACCCGAAGGAATATTGTCAAACAATCACTATTCAAGTACCACTGCCATCTAGTCGATTCCAACTCATGGGGACCTTGAAGACAGAGTAAAACTGCTCCACAGGATTTTCAATGGTAGAAAGCTTCACAGAAACAGACCACCTCATCTTTCTCCTGCAGAGCAGCAGATGGGTTTGAACTGCTCACCTTCCATCTGAAAGCAGCCAGGTGCTTAGCTCACTGTGCCACCAGAGCACAGTGCAGTAACCTTATTAACCCTGAAGCTTAAGCCAAACACCTATTCACATTTGTTTTCTCTTCCATAACTGGTCTGAGCGTTTCTCTACCTACATCCTACTCTCATGTCCAAGAAATGTTTCTCCCCTACTCTTTTCATGTGAAATTTAATCCCCTACTCTTTTCATGTGAAATTTAATATTATAAAAAAAGTTTTTCCAAGTTTTAAGACTTGTAAAATAATCAATCTTGCCTTGAAGTAATATGCTAACCTACTCTGGAAACTATTACTGCTAACAAATAGCTAATTGTCACCAACCGTTCTAGGTTATTAATCTCTTAACACAACATGCAGTGCTATATTCCACAACTAATTGCATGAAGGAGTCCTGGTGTGGCACCGCTGTGGGTAAATGCACCAGACTGCAAAGCCGTCTGAACTGCAAGGCTGGCAGTTCAAGCTCACCAGCTACTCCTCAAAAACCCTATACAGGGTCATTAAGGGTCGGAATCGACTCAACGGCATTTAACGACAACAACAATTACATGAAGGAGTGCTGGTGTGGTACTGCAGGATCAGCACTAGACTGCTAACCGCAAGATTGGCAGTTCAAACCCATCAGCCACTCCTCAGAAGCCCTGTACGGGTCTCTGTGAGTCAGAACAGACTCAACAGTACTAAACTACAAATTACATGAAACATTCAAGCCATTTGAAGAGTTACAACCTACTTTAAGGGATCTTCTTGATCACTGTCTATGCTATCAGCTTCACTGTCAGGGTCACCTCTCCAGGTCTGATCCACAGTAATGGATTCCTGCTCCCCATCACTCCAGCTGTCTTCATCTGAGGCAAGGAAGAAAAAGCAGTCATTGAGACATCCCACCTCTGTAACTCTACCACCCAAAACTAGATTGAACACATCCACCAGAAATAGTAAATTTTTTTAAAAAAAAAGATAGTACAGATACTAGCAAAAAATAAAAATGGTTTTAAATTATATATAACCCAGCTCAAATTAGGTAAGGCTATAATCAATTAGATAACCAATGCCCTTTTTAAAGGCTAGGAATGTCAATTCCAAAGTATTCCTATGTCCTGAAACTGCAGTTACTAAACATAAAAACGGCAATGGAAAAACCAGAAAACGTCATAAACTAGAACACACTACATCCAATTCAAAAGAACTGGTCAACAACACTGCAATCCTGGAACTCTCATCAATTCCCAATGATCAACAACTATTGCTGCTAAGTACCACGGAGCCAGTTCCAACCTTGCGGTCCAGTGCTTATCCTAGCAAATGGCCAAAATACGTTCAAGGCACTACACAAACCCAAAATAAACTCCTTCATCGTCTTCCTCCCTTTTCATCCTGGGAGAGAAGTATATTATTACCCAGAATTCGGCTGGCTTCACTGCGGCTACTTTCTGGAGTCTGAGAACCCAGTTCTGTCTTAGCATATGAGCTCAGCTGGCACAAAAGTGTTTCACCCATAGGTCCTGGGTTGGACTTTTTCATCTGGGCATGAAGTACCATAGCATTCCTACGGGCATGTTCAGCACAGAAGGACACCCTAGGGAAACAAAAGGTTAACATTGTATCCTCAGTTTCCTTCTTGAAAAGATGCAATAATTTTCCTATTCATTGATCTTCAAAATTATCTTTTGTTGTTAAAAGTCATCCACTCGGTTCTGTACAGGGTTTTCAAGTAGTTGGTGGGTTTGAACTGTCAACTTTGAAGTTAGCAGTCCAGTGCTTAGCCTACCAGTGCCACACCAGGACTCCAAAGTGACTATTACATTTATTCTAAAAAGTCAGAATTTGCCCCAATGTCAACTAATTTTGTTACGAAAAATAAATCCAATGTTCTTTCCATCTGTAACCATTCCAAGCATACAAATGCTGACATCATCTCAGAACAAATCAGAGATCCAGTCTCACCTTTCAAAACTGGCTCTGGAAGTCAACTCGTTATTTTACTTTACTATCAATCCACTGCCGATAAAATCTGGGACAAAATCACCTAGTGAAAATTGGTTTTTGTAGTCATAGATACTTTACGCATATGAGGGGCGCTTTTCCCAGAAGAATGCACACATATACAATTTTGCACTGCTTAGCAATATCCAGTTTATTTACTTTCCAATATATTCATAACCCTAACCCCACAGTACATTACTTCTACCTCCTATTTTACAACAAAAACCACAAATGACATAGAGAACTACATATATATACATACCCATCTTTCTTCTCGGGCTTTGGGGCAGCACTGGGACATCTTTTTCCATTCTTCGTCGATATGTAACTACATTGTTTGAAGGGTGCATTCTTGTCTTCAAGAATATGCTTAATGCAAAACTCCTGTCCCTCCAGACGTGGTTGAGAGCATGGGCGATGAGTGAAAGAACAAGACAGGTGCTCCTGAGACCTAGGTACTGGAGTGATTCTCCCCCGGTTGGTAGGCAAGACGTGAATCCGAATCCTATTCATACCAAAACCTGCAGGGACACACAAAAGATCAAAAGCCCTTATCCTTCCCCAAAATTCCTGCTCCACAATATCCGGACTGACCGCGAGTAGTTTCCACAGGGCAGGGAGATGTTAGCCTCGTAAGGTTCTCTCTATAACACCTCTCCGCTCTCCTTTTTTCCTTCAAGCTTTGATTAGCCATTTAGCCTCATCTCAACTTCTCCCTCTATCACCACCCGCTCGTAACACGGCCACCGCCAGATTGAAAGCATATCAAGGACTCGCACGGCTGCAGCACTAGGGGGTAGCGAAAGCACCGACTCCACGAGGCAGCAACGCCGCAAGACCGCACCCCGCCTCCCTGCCTGTTGCCTTTGTCCAAGCCCGCCTTGCAGCTCACGGCTGGGCCCTGCCCGTCCTCGGCGGACCGTGCAAGCGCCATTTTGTCCTAAAGCTTCAGGCAAAAGAGAATCTGGAGCCTGGGAGCCTACAGGAAGGAGAGAGAGCCCGACGCCTGTTGAAGCGAGCTAAGAGTTCCGAAAAGACATAAAGGGCGAAGTAGCAGCCTAACTGCAAATGCGCAAATCGACAACTGCCGCCATCTCACCTCTGCCGCCACGCTACGCCGCGCGGCTTGTTCTCTCTTGCCGCGCCAGACTTGTCTAACTCGACCCCACGCCTTTCCGGGCCCCTAAGTTCTGATTGGCTGAGGCGCCTACGTCACTGTATCACCATTAACTGAAGCCAATTACCTATCACGTGTGGGAAGGCAGGGCGCTGAGAAAATGAGCGGTGGGAGTGGCTGAGACGAACTGTCAGAAACCCCGCCCAGACAGAGGAGGCGGGTTTCGGAGCTGGTGACTGGGTGTGGATATATTTCCCCGCCTTGGAGGCCTTGTCTGGTAGCTTGTGGCTCCTCTCCACGTGTTCTTAGTCGGCTGCTACCTCACCACTCCTACACAACGGAAAGAAAATAAAACATCACAGGCTAAAGGATCCCCGTACTTTTGACGCTTACAGGAAAAAGCTTTAGTTTTCCTTGAGAGCACGCTGAGAACCTTTTTGTGTGTGTTTACTGTTGTTGTTGTTGTTGTTGAGTGCCATCGAGTCGGGTCCGACCCATAGCGACCCTGTACAGGGTTTCCGAGGGTGTAAATCTTTACGGGAGTAGAAAGCCTCATCTTTCTCCCGCGGAGCGGCTGGTAGTTTCGAACCGCTGACCTTAAGGTTCGCAGTCCGATTCGTAACCACTACGCTATGTTTACTATGAGTCTGAAAAACATGTCCAAACGGATTTAATTTTCAGAACAACCCTGGCAGATAGAAGTAATTATCTTCATGCTATAAGCAATATAACAAAGGAACAGAATGGTTGCCCAAGGGTTGTTGTTGCTATGTGCCTTTTTTCGACTCCTAGCGACCCCATACAATAGAGGAACAGATTGCCTGATCTTTATCCCTGCAGAGTCTTAGTGGGTTATAACTACTAACATAAGAGCGCTTAATCATTGCGCCACCAGAGCTCCTTAGTAAATGGGGTAAAACTCACTACCATCAAGTGGATTCCTACTCAAAGCGACCCTGTTGGGATTTCGGAGCCTGTAACTCTTTACAGGAGTGGTGGTGGTGTTGTTAAGTGCCTTGGAGTCAATTCCAACTCAAGCGACCCTGCATAGGTTTTCTAAGGAGTGGCTGGTGAGCTTGAACAACCGACTTTGCAGATCAAACTGACTTTGCAGTCCGGCGCGTTACCCCTCAGCGCCACATCAGGACTCGGCTGAGTAAGGAGGGCTAATTTGAACTCAAGTCATTTTTTTTTTTTTTTTCTTGTAGTTTGGGTGAAAGTTTAAATAGCAAATTAGTTTTCCATTTATACACATTTTATTTCAAGACATCATTGGTTGCGATCCCTCAACAGCACTGTTCTGCCTACCCCCTTGGGGAAGTTCCGCCTTTCCACTGTCTTTTTCTGCCACTTTTTGCCTGATGACCTTTATGGGCAAATGCTGCCCTTTTGGTCTCCTGTAGTTGACTGTACTGGTGTACAATCCTATCTGCCTACCTGAGTGTTATTATTCACTTTAAAGGCTTGTCTGATTAAAAGCTGAAGAGGGGAGGTTGTTGTTGTCAAGTGCTGTCGAGTCGATTACGACCCATAGCGACCCTGTATAGGGTTAACAAGGCGCAGCTGGTGAGCTTGAAACACCGACCTTGCAGTTCAATCGGCTTTGCAGTCTGGTGCATTAACCCACAGCGCACACCAGATCTAAACCAGTTGCTTATTCTTTATCACTTATTGGCTCATATTGGACTAAAGAATAAGGAAAGTACAGGACAAATACAGAAATATGACTTCTGGTTTAGGCCTTACTTTTCATAAATTGTGTGTGTCCTAATGCTCCAATATGAAATTTAATTACAACTCCATTCCAAATAACTATATTATAGAAATAGCTAACACAATCCCAGTTTCATCCTCCTTCAAGGATTTATAATTAGAAGCATCACTCTTCTGCCATCTCCAGCACTCCTCTGTAGAAAAGATGCAACACTTTTTCCCTCAAAACCTTTAGGACCATTTTTGCCTCGAACCCTTATCTAGTGACTGTCAGTTTCAAGGAAGATGTTTTCTCCATGACTAATGAGCAGGGTTCACAATGGAGGTGAGCAGAGAGAATGTATAGTGTTCAAGAACAGCTGTCAAAAAAACACAAAAAGTGATTCAAATAAAAAGGCAAGGAGAGGGACTTTTCCCTAAAAGTAGCCCTTTTCTGAAATTCATTCACTCAACAAATATTTACTGAGCACCTAAGTGCCAGGCCCTGGAGAACAGTAAAAAGCAAGAAAGGTTAGCCCTGCATTCTTGAAGCAAAAATTCTAGCAGTTTGGGATTATGGATGCAATACAAACATAATAATAACTAAAATTTATCTACAAAAGCAAGCAAAAAAATTCTCAAAATGGATTCAAAGATTTTATAAACATCCTATAACTCAAAACTAGCTGAAGACGGTCTACAAAAAATTTGGGTATCAGAATCTGCAATCAAATGTAGCAATATCAAAAAGAAATAATAAAACAAACTAGTGAACAAGAGAGCTTGGTGACTGTAGGATAAGCACTAGACTGCTAACCACAAGGTCAATGGTTCAAGCCCACCAGCCATTCCATGGGAGAAAGATGAGGCTTTCTGCTCCCACAAAGAAATACGTCTCAGTTGCTATTAGTCAGACTCGACTCACAGCACTTAACAAGAACAATATAAAGCACAGGAATAGACAAGAACACACAGAATTTTTTTTTTTTTTAATTAGTTACTGAGTCTACTGAAGGTTTTAGTCAGAAAAAGTAGGGGGAAAAAAAACCCTGCTAAACCCAAGACAGAAAAATTACTTTTAAAAATCACTTCCTTCCAAGTGGGAGGGAACAAATACTATTAAAGAGTCAAGATAGTGGCAAATTCCTTGTGATGTTTAACAAGGTTGTTTTCAATTTACCAAGCATTTATCTAGGTTAAAATGGGCCTGAACACACAGCCATCTAAGATAACACTATTTGTCTCTTCAAGAAGACTGAAGAAACTATTGTACCACACAAAACACAACCTCCACTAGCTTGAGACCAGAAGAGATAGATGGTACCCAGATACCAGTACTGACCACTTAGATCAGGATCACAACAAAAGGTCCTGCACCAAGTGGGAGAAAAGTATAGAACAAAATTCAAAACTATGAAAAAGGACCAATCTTACTGATCTGATAGAGGCTGGTAGAACACTTGAGATTGTTGCTCTTCCAAACCCAAACTACGGCCCTCAGACATCCTTCAAACCTGGAGCTAAACCCACTCCCAGAGATCACCTCTCAACCAAACAATAGACAGGCCTACAAAGTGAACACCCGTGAGAAATATGCTTCTCAGAGCAATCCATCATATAAGACCAAAAGGCAGTATTAGCCCAAAAATCAAAGTTAAGAAGACAGGAAGGGGCAGGAAAGAAGTGCAAATGGAAACAGGGAACCAGGGAGGAAGTGCCAAGAGTGCTGTTGTATTGAGGAGATTGCAACTAATGTCACAAAACAAAACGTGTATGAATTGGTAAATAAGAACTAATTTGCTCTATAAACTATTTTCCAAACCACAACAGAATGTTGAAATAAAAACAAACAAAAAAAAGCAGGCCTGAAACTGTCTGAAATTACTTCCTTCAGGAAGAGAATTTTTCAGAATTTTATCCTTTGAGGGTTAATTTTAAACAATGGTAAGAAAAAGAAAAAGAGCCAACAGAAGCAAGATGGCAAAGTAAGCAGATGCACTGAGCTGACCCTCTGCAACAAAGACAGAGAAGACCAAGTAAAACAGATACAAATGGTGATCTGGGAACTCTAGCATCCGAGGTTAGTACTGAGAGGTTGATTGAGTGCTTCCTGGCGGAGGAAGTGGAATAGGAGCAGAGAGAAAAGAAAAGTGGGCAGACTCTGGAGCAAAGCAGCCTTCTTGGGCTTATGCAAGCGGCTGTTGATACAGCAGTCTGCAAGCACAGGACGCATCTGGTAGTTGGTGACCAGGGATGCAGTTCTCCTAACCAAACCAGCAGCCAGTGGTACCCCTTCCTGCAAACCTCTGCTCTGCCTGGGGTCAGGTGCTGGACTTGTGCCCCTACTTCTGGAAGTGCACGAACTTACCCTGAACTATGCTACACAAATAGTGAATCGAGAACTAACTGCATTCACATTTCCAGTCTCTATCACATTTACCAGAATGCAGGTGATGAGTACCAGTGAATACAGCAATATACAATCAGTTAAATATAAACATGACACAACGTCTCAGAGAAAACAATTTCAGTTTACATGAAGAAACAAGACAGAATGCTTCAAACAAGTGACCAAAATACAGAGTCAGAAAATATAACACCAAAAATAATACCAGAACTAGCTGATAAGGAATTTAAGAATGCTTTTTGGGCAACTTCAACAGATTGAGAGAATAATCAATGAAAGCTGTATATGAAATCAAGGAA